TCAACAGGAATAACAGTTAGCAAATCATATGATCGACAATCACGATACCAATTCAAACGACACCAACTGTTTATGCCTAGGCTTGGAGCGTGCCAGAGGTTCTGAGGCTCCTGTATAAGTCTCCAAAAAAATTATATATATACATAACGCCTAATGGCTCTGTTTATGTATTAGATATGTACATACATAAGAATTCCTCTGTATGTAAATCTTCCACAAAAGAAAGAGGTATTTACAGACATTACACCAAATTCTTATGTATTTAAAAATCAAAGGCTTAATTTTTTTACATTTTTATATTTACAACAAGCACGTCTCTTATATCACATACAAAAACAATCATTTTGCCTTTTAAGAAGCGAAACACATCTTCTTGTGCATGAAAAAAGGGGGCATGTATGCGGAAATGGAACTTTACGTGTTGGATATGTAAATACATAAGAATTGAGTGGCATATAAGCAAGTCTTCCAAACACTTACATGCATGCCACCTAATTTCTTGGCATGTAAATTCCGTTTATTAGTACAATACAATACCATAAGTTGGAATGTAATCTGATTAAAATTTTCTGTAATACTTAACCAAGCTTCTCAATAAAGTAGAATTTTAAGATAATAATTATTCTAACACTAAAGTTAAAATTTTAAGATAATAATTGTTTTTCAAAGGATAAAATGATTTTAAGTTAGACATGTAAAATGGTTACTTTTTTGTTTTTGTAAATTTACATGCATACCTAACAATTTTTTTGTGTATTTACAAATCTAACACCTAAAATTTGATATTTATATTTATAGCACTTTGTTGTCAGGAGCTTATACATTAGAAGGTGAGCTTCACCTTTTACAGCCAAAATTCGCGGATTCTGAATTTATGAAATCCGCAGCTTTAGTTTGTCCAAACTGACTGTTTGGCAGGATTTAGGTGAAGTCTAGTTTAAATCCTGCTCTAAATGCATTAGCGGAAACAGCTTTCGTAAATTTGGGACGAGCGAAGAGAAAGAATGGCGCGAACAAGATTACCTTCCCCAAGGATTTCTGGTGGTTGTGGAGCGGAAGGATGAGAGTTTCGGTGGTCTCTGTAAGCTGTGATTTCAATGTTGTATTCCCAGCTAACTCTAATGGCGATTGTATCGTGAAAAATGGGGCGAAACCGGGGGAAGGGGAAGGAGGACCGAGGGTTTCAATCTTGTGGAAGAAGAAAGAGGAAATGAGGGTTTTCGATGCCAGTTTGCATATAAGACTCTTTCGCACGGGAAAAATTTGCATACTTAAAAAGATGTAATTAGGTCAGGAGTTTATTCAGAGAGTATTGGAGGTTATATATGTATTATACTCTTATAATCTCTCTGTAACTTACATGTAACCTACAAATATATGAAAACAGAAATATGGAACTTGCTAGAAGCTACAGATTTGTTACAGATAGGTTACAGTGAGGTTACATGGGATATAACACGGTACGGTTATAACCCCCCCAATACCCTCTGAATAACCTCCCTGACGTAAGCAGCGCTGCGTATGTCTTACGTACATAAATTTTCTCCTTTCTGATGGCTTAGCCATGGTATAAAAACCGTTAATTTTAAATAACAATATTAACGACACATAAAACCGTTGATTATCATCAAAATCTCATCAGTTCATAACCTACGTAAAATAACTCCATTAATTACTAACAAGATTTGTCTCGGTTGTTTATCTTTTCTTTTTTCTTTTTTTTACAATAATCGACGATCTAAACATGTAATTGGAAAATTTTTCTGTTCAAAAGAGAGGGCTTTTGAAGTAGTTAAGTCGTCGTAAATCAACTGCTTGATGTTTCATTGCTAAGTTGTCGGATATTGCAATGATATTTTCGACACTAAAACGGCCTTCAGCTTTGTCATTAGTTATAGTTAATTTTCCTCTAGTGAAATAGGAGTGTTAAATGGATCAACATTGAACTCTAAGAGGTTCTATACTTTTTTCTTGATGAATTTATAATCATTGTCTCTCAATCTCATAACTTAAGAAGGACTACATGGCAACTTCTTATTATGAGTAATGATCACACTAAAATATTTCAGTAGCATCATAATGCATTTATGCTCTAAATCTTCATCACCATCTAGATAAAGTTGCCCAACAATTATCATTTTATTTGATAACTACCATTTTGCATTTGTTTGTTGCTAGCCACATGAGCCACTTTATTTATCTCTATCATTCCCATTCAAAGGTGATTTACATGTAATTATTCACATATAAACCTCTAAAGCTAAATGATGCCTATAAATGCCTCCTCATTAATCTTCCTCTGAATCTCTTTATACATTATTTTACTGCGTGTAAATAGAAACCTTGATGCGCTTCTCTTACAATGTATAGCCCAACAATGAGATTTTCAAGGCTAAGTGATTATCTTTATTCCTATAATAGTTATTTTTTTCCCCTTTTCAAATATATTAGATGTAGTCCATGACATCAAACCATGTTAAAATCTTTTGTGATGACTCTTTTTCTTTCTTTTTCTTTATCTTTTGATAAATTTTATGTGGCATTTAGCATTTATTAGTTTCTTATCACTACTAGCGTCTTTCTTAGTGCATGTTGATAATAATAAAGGTTAACGTTTTTAATGGAGACTTTCTTCATGATATCATGATTTTAGAAATTTTTTTTGAGAAAATAACGTCCTTCTCTATGCGAATGTATGATATGCTACCCTAACTCTGGTCATGAAATCAATCATACAACTTTATCAATCCAACCTCAAAATGTTGTTCTTTGGACCTTTATATCACTATTTCCATGACTCTAGTAACATTAGCAACATTATTAATTAATATCTCTAACTAGTATTCGCCATCTTTCAAAAATAAAAATGTTACTCCGTGGAGTAGTTTGCATAGTTGTTAACTATGCATCGGTCTTCTCCCACTTTACAATGGAGATTAACATAGGTTCCTTATCGTTTAGCTTGATGTGTTTAATGTTGTTATAACTTTGGCTATGGCCATAAAGGCTTTGTAATGTTAAAACTTTATCACCAAGCTCACTAAAACATCACATAGTTGCTTCACTCGCTATCCAGTATCATCTACTCCTTTGATATGCAACATTGAGAATTCACATAAAATTCATCTTTTCTAAACATCCCCTAAATTGATTTGACATATTTTAGTGATATGCATATAAATTTTGAAAAATATTTAACGCCTTAATCATCTTTGACAAATGTTAAATCATGCATCTAAATACTTAATCTAGCCCATTTGAACTCCAATTCAGATATTTTAACCACCACTTTGTTTGTCATGTTGAAACAAATTAGCTCGACTAAAAAATTGTTGATTATAAATTTCTCATAATCTTATATTAAGTTTCTAAATTCATTGACCCTAATTACTAATTATATTGAGATATTCGAAAGCAAATATGACTTTAGTAATTAATAATTGATCAAAATATAAATAATTTTGCAATAAAAAAAGCAACTAAGCTTAAGAAATTGGCTATTATAAGTATGCTTGACAATTGAATTTACAAAGACCCATTTTGACTCATTTTACCCGCAAAATATCAACTCAAGTTGAATTTGAGCACGAGCATAGGCCAAGCTTGAGCCTGATTTCTTGGCTTGAAATTGAAATGGTTTGAGCTCGAGTATAATTAAAGCTTGGCCCATTTTAGTTCAGACTCATACAAGCACGTCTTTAGAATGTTTTGTAAGTATATGAAATTATCATACATTTTTGTTCAACTCTTTTAAAATGACCAAAAAAAATTAAAAAATTAAAAAAAAAACATTTGAAAGTAATTGAACTATTGTTTTCATGTTATTTTGCATTTAATTATGCTAATAGGATTATTCATTTACTAAGTGGTTTCCATAACTTAGCTGAATTATGTTATTAATGATTGGTGTAGTAATGCTCTTAATCAAATTTACTCTAACAATTTGTAACTTTGTTTCTTTATAGATCCTAATTACAAGTTCTTTAATATATATTTTTAATCTTTTTGCTACTTAAAACTGCAATCTAAAGCCTCTAAATTTTTGAATTTATCATTTCAGATAATTTCTTAACTGCATTGAGAGAATGGTTTGGCTCCGACACAATTTTAAATAAATAAAAATTTAAATTCTTCAAGAAACATGAGAAATAAGAAAAAACTCTTCTGCCAAATAGAGAAAAATTCAGACTCATATGTCATGTATTGGCCGTGGGCTTAAATTTAAAAAAATATTACGTCTGGAGTTCGGACGAGATAATACAACAGAGAAGAAAAAGAACTTCGCCCTTGCATCCTATGCATCTCTTGCATCGAGTCCGTTATCTGGACATAGCTTACGTCCCTAGACGCTATATTTTTTCCTTAAATTGGGCCACGGTAACTCCTCTCTCACATGAATATCTAATAATTCATTTTGGCGGTCCATTTGGCGATATTTAGTAGCATGTTATTTATTGAATTTAAATATTAGTTCAGCTTAAATTTAATCAAATATATAAAAAAAAAAACTAAATCTAATTTTTCATTAAATTTAAATCTGAATTTCATAAATCCAATTACAAGCAACCGCCACTCTTAAACATTTCCCATCAAAACTGAATTTGATAAATTTAAATATACTGAATTTGATTTACCGCCTCTCTCTCAATTAGATAGATAGTCAACTGCTTATGGCTGTAATATCAAAGAAAATATTAGGTCAGGAGTCCTATAGAGGATAGGGGGAGGACCAATCACACTGTATTGTGATGAGTCCAATTTACATTTGGCGCTCCCCTATAGGACTCCGGCTGCATCAGGAGTCTAACCTAATATTTTCTCCTAATATTCAGGGCTTTGATAGTTTATTAGCCGTTTATGGTAGCAGAAAAATATCACTCTGTTTAACTAAAACGTAACTGTCAGCTTTCTTTTTCACCAAAATTATCTTAAAAATCATATTTTTATTACAAAATTTTTAAATTTATATCTAAAAAAAGTCTTTTTTATCGTAGCCCATGGTTCGATGAACTCGCCCATTTGATAATTTCTAGCAAAATTTTTAAAATTCTAAATTGAAAATGATATTAAACTTTTACAGAAATATTTCAAACAAACCATCTCAAATTCAGATTTTGTGCTCATGCTTCCACTGTGGACGGCGCTCAAACTGCTCTAAAAAATTCATTTTCATGCACCGGAGCTCTTGCAATATAAAGCGGAGAGTGGCTGGCGCAGAGCCCAGCTCCAGATGCAATCGACACCGTCCGCATCCCCATCAGACGGCAAGGATTTGTCGGCCTCGCCTGAGATGGTGATCGGCGACTGTCTCGACGGCGAGATGCCGTCGACGAGTGAAGAGTAGAACACTTCGCGGAAACTGCAGCCGTCCAGTTCGAGCGCAAGTGCACCTTTATCTTTCTGCCATGGGAACTCAAACACCCCAAGGGGACGATAAGAGTCTGGTTTTTGTATAAAATCGTCATCATCGTCGGAGAAAAGCTCGGAGATTGCCGTCACCGTTAGCTTCCCTTTCTTGGCCGCCCGATCATGCACCGGTGATGTACCTGTGTCACTCCTTTTCTTTTCTCTGTCCATCTATGGAGGAAGGAATGAAATGAGTTCGGAAGATGAGACTAATTTCATCGAATCTTGCGCGGGAAGGCATAATAACTTATAAGGGAGAGGAATTTCAGGAAAAAAATTCTCAGATGTGAAAATGCAGAGACGACGGGTGAGAGAACAGGGGAGAAATCCATAGATAAAAACAGCAGGATCTGAGCTGGAACTCGAGAAATCATTTCTACGCTACAAAACCAGAAGTAAAAAAAAAAAATCACAAAAAATCTCTTGGAAAAAGAAACTGAGTTCCAGATCAAAACATAATTAGAAGAGCATCATCTTTTCATCTTCTTCTTGCCATCGATCATCAGAACACAACAGCATTACCGAAATCCAAACGCGAAATCTAAATTTGTTCAGCAGAATCTTGAAAAAAAAAACAACAAATCAAACTTTCTGTCAACACTCAAACAGATCAAACTCAAACGACCAACGTTTGCAGAACCAAATCAAGCAGACTACAAGGAATCAAATTTGAAGGTGATATCTCCAATCCACAATCTGAAAATTCGAATAATATATTTCAAATTCAGCTGTCTTACCTTGATCCCAAAACTTCTCCCCGCTCTTTCACCGGCTCTCTCACTCTTCTTCGACCTCCAACCAAATAATCGTTACAGGTGATTGAGAAAGGTATAAATCGCAATGGCAAGCAGTTAGAGGATAATTATATAAACATAAATATTTTTAGGAAAAAACTTTGCGCAAAGGTCACGCGAGTGCAGAGCGTAACAACCTCAACGGCTCGCACACGTTCGACCCGCGCGCACTCTGCCTTGCGTCTCACAGAATTGTGCTCGCTTTCATGAGCATCTCCTGATACTACTTTTGGAGTATCATGGATGCCAATATTGACCCAACAGGTTAATCCTACTTGAATTCTAGGTTATTTTTGACCCGGCTATTTTCCGGGTCAATTTCTGGATAGAAAAATCAATATGTTTATTACTCGGGTTGGGTTCAGGTTAAACCTAAAAATCCAAACATGACCCGAATAAGAATGAAAGTCTAGGTCGAGTTCGAGTTAACGGGTTGAGCCCGTGTTTGGATCAAGTTTGGGTCTTAGTTTTCAATCCATTTATTACTTGGGCCGGATTTGCTATTCGAGTCGAGTCATTTTCGGATCAGACCGAACCCGACGCGCTGACCTAAATTAACATCCGTAAAGAACTGACACACTCTCTCCCCCCTCGGAATACCATTTATAGCCTCGAAGGCTCTGAATTCCAAGCTATCTAATCTACCGCTTGTAGGCTTAAGGGATTATTTGATTAATTGGTAGCAATGTAAAATAAATGTAATACATAAACAATATATTATTCATGAAATATTTTGATACTATTCAGTTTGTTTTAAAATGAATGAAAGACTTTTTTTTTTATTATTATTTGATTTGAATTAAAAGGAAAATAATGAATTTTGAAATAAAATATTTTTTTGTGGTTGGGAGCGACAGCGGTGGCCGACAGTAGAGGTGATAAACTCTGATAAAACCGTAGAACACCCACTTCGGCTTCGTCGAAAAAGTTCAACAATTTTTTTTATATATATAATCAAATAGCTTACAATCTATTAACTTTTTATGGTCAATATCAAAATTTCCACTTCAAATAACCTACGGTTGCTAACGAGGTTTTTCATGGTCTAAATGC